TATTTTAATTATCTTATTTTAAATACATTGTGATTTGACGGAATAACCAAATAATTTAATTTTAATTTAATAAATCACAATATGACGCAACTACACTATTTTATTGAAGGTGACATTTGAGCATGAGAGTTTGCCTGTGTGTTCTTTGTATTACCATGAGCTAATTTGTGTTTTGTTAGTTGAACAAAAATGTTTGCCCTTTTTTTTACCACTAATGAAATTAAAGAAGTAATAATTATAGGTTTCACCAGAAGTGTATATTATACAACACTATATAAAATTGATATGAACATGCTTAGAAAATTAGGACTTCCCTGTTTTATAATACCTAATATACCAGGTAACTATGCTTCATTTCAAGATCATTGAAATGAACCATATCTTCTTTTCATGTTGCATAGACATTTTAGGAGGCTCTCAGTATGTACATTTTCCATCTAAGTAATATAATGGTTACCATGGGAGATGATATATATCATCTCTTTTCTGTTGTACTGTTACTTTAATACAGTGTATGTTTCATATGTATTGTTGGCTTAAATTCCCATATTTTACAGGCATTGAAGTAAATTTCATGGATGATGTTGGCCAGACATTACTGAACTGGGCATCTGCGTTTGGAACTCAGGAGATGGTGGAATTTCTGTGTGATAGAGGTGCGGATGTCAACAAGGGTAAGCCAGCTATCCCGACACACTGCCACTCACCGGTTTGACTAATTTTCACAGCTTTTTATGTTTTCTTTCTTTTGGAAAGCAGGATGTTTTTAATTACATCCATGGAAATTAGTTCTCGGCCAAATTTGTAGTTTGGAGATTTTTTAAAATTATCACAATCTTGTTTAGGGATATGCATGGTAATGCCTCTCTAATGGTATTTGTGTTGATATATTGTGAAACCTTGTCTGTGCTTATAGTATGTGTGTGTTGTGAGAAATAAGAACATTACAACAGCATGAAATACATATTTACTTCCCTGTTTGATAGTACCATTGTAGCTGTGAACATGAAGTTTTGTGTGGACATAATCTTCCACGTTTCTAAAAATTTTTGTATGAAACAGTTTCAGTATGTTAAAAATTTGAGTGAAACATTTTGAGGTTATATCTAATATTTCTGTGACAGAGGGAAGCAGTGTTGTTGGGTTATGGCAAAAGAGATCTCTGTTATTTATAATTAATAATTGCTCTACCATTTCACCCACTTTCTCTATACGGGTGAAAGTATTTAAAGTAAAAATAGTGTCGTAAGTTCATCCTAATGTTTTACATTCTTAATTTTGTATTGAATGTGTGTTAGATATATGGATTTAGTTGACTGTCACCTCTTGTAGAATTGGGCATTTATTTCAGTATGTGTTTGCAGGTAGGAAGGAGCAGTTGACAGATAGCATATTTATTCTGACATGTGATATAGTTGTAAGACTTGAGGTTCTCACAGCGGTGAGTATGAAGATATCCGTCTTCTGGGTTGTTGCGCTGTGTAGTCTGGTCGATGTTAACCAACGTTTCAGAGGTCATACTGCCTCC